GGTAGGAACAATCTCATAACATTTGCATCTTAAAGCTATTTTATTCAGTGTTTTTATAATTACTACCAATATTATATATGTATAAAAGCTAATTTTACTTTTTTCCAACTGAAAACTAATTTACAGAAATTTACCTTTCCTTTTGTTACACTAGGAAACAAACAGGACTGTGTGGGATTTAATAAAGAAAAAGCAAAGAAAATTGAAACAGCTATGGTACAAGCCAAACAAAGAAGCAATCCACCCACTATGTGACGAAGTCGAACCATCTCATCTTGTTACACCTGCACAAGAGAAATATATATATTTGTAATCAATTTCTGTACAAAGTTCTAATTTCTAAATTCACATTTCAAGATTCTGCTCAAAGAAAAAAATATAAAAATATTAAGCTTCATGCACATGAAGTTATTATACTCAGTTAAAACAACAAATTAAAAATAACATACCTAAATATATCTTAAGCCCATAAAAATACTGTCATACAAACAGCAACCTATAGTAGTTCATAAACAATAACTGTTAATTATAAATCATGAAAAAAAATCAGGTATTATTCTCCTCAATCACCCAAAAAAAACAAATTTGTAGAAGTGTGAGATGTAAAATACTATTATACAAGCATACAGTAAAAACATGAAAACTAAAAATGTGCCTATTCAAGTAACTTCACTGATCATTGCCAGTCAACAGACTTCTGACCAGCTGTTAGCAATATCAGCTGCAGTGTTGTAGTAGCCTTAATGAAAACAGTTATGTTAATGGTTAGTTTTATATAGAAAATGGACTACCTGTAGTTAAAAAATCATTAAAACGAGTCACTTCCTACTTAGTTTTCCATTAAACATGAATACATAAAAAATGCATATGTGGCACATTTAAAGATTTGGAGCCAACTTGAATGAGTAATGAAGAAAACTATTATAAATGTACAATGTTTCGACAAGATTATGATGATGACAATCTTGTCGAAACATTGTACGTTTATAATAAAGTTCTTCCTTACCCATTCAAACTAGCTCCAAACTTTTATTTTCTAAAAAGTGGGTTCCTCATAATCAAATTTAACTTCACATGTATATGCTATTGATCCAATTTTTATTTTTCACAATGAGTTACACTGAAATCTCAACTCAAGTAACAGTTCAATAAACTATGAATACAAACTATATTTCATCTCTAGTGAAAGTACTTATTTCTCTGTTTATTATATTGAGTTATCACAGTCAGTTATAAATCATTCTTCTGCAATAATTATTATGAGTTTCAAAATACTATACCATTCAAATATGTTACATGAAATAAATGTAATTTACAAACACCATAAAATAAGTGGAAAATATATGTATATTCTTGTGTAGTATCAGCAAAGTATTATACTGAACTTCAAATGCTTTGTGAGACCATGAAGTCAAGTCAGGACAGGCTTATCTAGACAACAGTAAAGTCACAAATACATAGTGAGCTAACCAATTAATTAGGCATGCATATAGTTCAATTTACCATCTACTCAGCTTAGATGGGTCTCAAAGGTGGAACACCACTACTAAAATATGTCAGGATGTTAAGAAGTCTACAAAGAAAGAGAATTAAACCAAGGACCCTCAGTTCACATTAGTGTTCTGATGTCATTGCTATACAAAGCTATCAGTACTCAAGGGTAACTTTTTTCACAAGTATTATTATACAGCCCTTCCCAACAAAAAACATTTAACTATCTTTATATGGACAAAATTTATAATAAAAAGGAATGATACCCATGAATGTTAACATTTTCCTTACCTGAAAATGTATTTCAAATAAATACTCGCATCTCCACAGAACAGAGCACTATTAACCCACTTTGCACTGGTATTCTTAACTGTACATGTCACGAGGTTTTTAGTGAGTTACATTCAAAATTTAAACTTCTTTTTGTTTATTTTATTCCAATTAGTATAGTATAACATCATAGCTAATAATTTATATCTTAATATTATACAAGTTTTAAGTTCTTAATTTTATAATGTAACATTTAAAAGAATTCTGAATACCCCTTGTGTGAGAAATAACATTTTTTCTCTTCTGTAATTTATTCACCACCCCTCCAATAAGTACAAAATTTAATGTAAATTACTCACTATCAAATCTTCATCACTCAGACAAAGCACAATTTTTATAGCCTTCAATCCTGTTTGGTTACAGAGCCAACAAATAGAAAATCAGACCCCTCTTGCCATACCCACCTGTCATATACTCTCTTTCAGGATTTGTTAATAGTTCTCTCTTACGTTTAGTATTACATTATTTATAACCAACAGAAAACCAAGGTTTTTATCTATCAATTGATGTATTATATTACATTATTTTCTGAACAGAGAATTATCAATTTCTCTTTTAGTACATGCTTCGCTCTCATGAGAAATATGTCGACTAGCTTAGATGCATTTGTAATGGCTCTTGTAAAATTAGAAAGCCAGAAAAATTGTGATACTTATGGGACAATGTCTGCTTTTTTGCATGTTATTATTCCACATTCTTTGGTCCATTATTTAATTAGATAAAAATTATTTAGTGCATTACTACCTTTAGTACAAAAAAAGTAGGGTTAAGTGTCATCAACAATTAACAGCAAAAAAAAAGAAGGTCCAGGTATCTACTTTATTTCTTATTTTTAATGTGTATTCTTTATATTTTTTTTTATTATAAAAGTAACTAAAATGTAAAAATAGGAATCTCTAAGTTAGTTAAGGTTAGATTAGATAAAATAAATAATATGATAAAATTTTCAAAAGACATGCATGCAAGCAGCTTGTTGATAACATAATTCGATAGTGTAATGTCAGCCCCATGTTCCCCAAGTGATTTCCAACTTATAATGACATGAATATTTGTAGTTAGACATGATTCAAAGGGCAACAGAACAATAAAATTTAAGTATAAATAATTGTATAATGTTACGAGTTTAAAGCTACTTAGGATAAACAAATGTAGTTTCATGTTACAATCTGAAGTCATTTTAGAAAGAAAAGAAAGATAATTTATATTCATTTAGATTTTTTTTTGGTGGTTACAAGGTCAGTCAAATTGACCAACCTTGTATAGAGTTAGGATAGAGAAAATAACAGATAAAATACAAAGTTTACTGAAAACAAACATTTGAAATGTACTTAGGAGATTTTAAAAATCACACAAATATAATTTTTTGGGATGAATAATATTTTTTTAATCAAAATGTGAAAATCACTTCAGACTAGCAACAAAACAGACTTGATATATTCACAAACATCTCTTTAGTAAATATACTTCATTAAAAATTCTGATCTTTTGTGTACAAAAGGCTTGTAATGTTTCCAAAAAGTCTACCAAATTTTGTGAAGGTACACATATTGTATTAAAAGTTATAGAATAAATATTTAACAAGTGCAAATCTGTACATGGACATGGTATTTTATACCGTGTCTCCTGCGAAAAGGTTAATTGGAATCACTGCAAAAAAATTTGTTGTACAGCTGCCAAGCCTACAATGCAACTTCCACCCCTACACTTATCGACATGTGCTACACCAGCCTAAAATGCAATCATTAGTCTATAGCCTTCCACTACTATGAAGGCAACAAAGCCTCCATGTGCAGTAATCCTCATGAGCATTAGCATTTCAACAAAGGCTCATTCTTGACAAGGCAAAAGAAACAGAAGTGGGGAAGAAAGGAGGGAAGTTCTGTGGAGAGGCAAGTATCTATCTGAAATACATATTCAGGTAAGAAAACAAATTAACTTTCAATATGCTACTTGCCTTTCCACAGAAAATGACAGCTACAGTTCTACATCAGTAAAATGGGGAAAGGGTCAGTATAGATAAAGATATTAAAAAGATGATTTCCTTTATGACAAGATGGTGCCAGCAGCAGCCAGACATCCATATAATGGTGTGTGCACAGGCTCAGGGAAAGGAGGTGATGAGATAAAGTTTGCACAAATCAACAGAACACATATAGTATCAATGCAAGTCTGAAGGGCAGAGCCTGGAACTGCAGCACCTGACCTTTGTGCACAAAATGCAGATAGTGGTGGGACGACTCCACTATGGGAATGTGCAGATTGGTGTCGGCTACATTGAACTTGGTCATCCACAGTCCTAGCAAAAAATGCCAATGCAAAGTGAGGAATGACTCCAATGTGAATTTTGGAAGATCTAATAATTGATTTAGATGAGAAAGAATGATGGCCAAATGCCAATCTCCCATCTTCTTGGGCACAACAAAAAGACAGGAATAAAACCCTGGAAGAACTAGAACGACACTCTCTACTGCCCCCTTGACCAACAAATCATTGATAGCCATAGAACAAAGTTCCAAAATCTGAGGATCTTTGGGAGGCAGAAATACTACAGGTTGGGGGATAATGGTGGTGAGGTGAACTTAATGAATAATCCTGATGCAAGGACCTGTATTACCCATGGAAGTGTGGAAATTCTCGGAGCCGAGCCTCCACAGACTTCAAAGGTATACGGTAGTCACCGCTGCCACTGGTGATATTCCAACTGAACAGAGGAACCTCGTGGTTATGGGCAGAATCTATTCTAGGTACCAATGAGCTGATGATGGGGGGTCAGGTCACTCAGATAGGTGTGGAATTATGACCCCCTGTAGGAGCCGAGGAAAGTCAAAAAGCCAACGATGACAGGGATGAATGCAGATGGGCGATCTCAACCCTTAATTCCAAAAACTCCGAAATGCCATCAAAAATCAATGATCGGAGAAAGGAGGCCTCACATAACTCACAGAGGGCAGCAACAGGTAGACAAATGCCCTCCAACAATGCATCTTTACCCAACAAGTCTTAACAACATACCAGCCAAGAGAGTAGAGAAAGTGCAGAAACTGACAATCAACCAAGGTAGATGCTAACAATGGTCCCAACTCATCATAAAATTAGTTAGGGTCAGATGAATCCTAAAAAATAATATATTCAAGTTGACCCCAGACTCTGGAACCCCACATTTCCAGAAGTGTCTCTGTTCGCTAAGAGTCTAAATATGCACCACCTGGTGGTGATAGGCTAAAGCATATTGTTTTGACAAACGTGGTGGACAAAGCATAGCTGTCCCTTCACGTAATTGAGCAGAAAAACCTCCCTGCATGAATCACAATATCAAGGGAAGGAGGGAGAACTAAGTACTCGCACTCACACCCTTCAACCACCACAGATGGCATGGACTCAAATGTAACCAAGGGTAGACCGAAAGCATCACACACTTGATTTACTAAATGAAGAAAAGAAGCTAGAGGCAGCTGATCCAAAT